TAAACTGCAATATCTTCCGTTCTAGGGAAGTCATTAAAATGTTATATTATAATAGTTCTAAGATCTAATGGACATCAATACCATCATTCTGAAAGAGGCATCCATATAAATTAATATATGACTTAAGTGAGACTGTGCTATTGTATAAGACTTACAATATTTCACGAAAGCAAATTGCCATAGGTAACATGAAGTGTTGCCAGTGTGACATTTTTTACCAAAAACCGAAGGGTGTTTATGTAGAATAAAATTTTACGATATAAAACGGTATAGATTTTATGTTGCATAAATTAATTAAAATTATTTAGAAATAAAATTTACATATGTAGGCCCCCCTAATTTTACTTCATTGTATAAAATAACAAAAAAACAAAATATTCATGAATAAATAAATCGTACGCACATTCTTTTTATAAGTATTTTTGTTTTGTTCATTTTTTTTTTTTGTAGAATATTATAAAAATCACAAGTCCCAATTCTCATATCAAATAAAAGAAAAAAATTTGTTAAAAATAACAAAACAAATTTGAAGGAAAAAAGGAAAATAAGAACGAAAAACAAAATGTTAATGTTTTTTTCTTTCTTTTATTATAAATACAAGGACATTCGGGCAGGTACCCATTAGTTTACTTTAGTAATACTCCATAACCTATATTGATGCCTTTATAAATGTTTATGTGGGTGTTAGTAATTGTGATAAAATAAAAATTACACTTTAATTTCACGATATTTATCAATTTATTTTTAATTGTATATCCGCACTTTCTAAATTCTTAATGAATTAATGAATGTCTGAACATTCTCAAAAATTATTGTATTCGAACTATATGTTAAATATTTAAAATAAATATTTAAACGTAATAATTTTAATTTGTCACTTTTGAAATAAAAATCACAATAGGCGATTATTAATATTTTTGTTATTATTTAATGTACACGTGGTCTTTTACTAAAAATAAACTCTTGCCAACTAAAATACACAAAATATTCTTTTCAAAAGCGATTTTCAATAGTCAATATCTTTATATTCATTTAATATTAAAATTACTATATAGAAAGCTACCACATATTCATATACGTGTTTCGAATGAATGAATAAAGAGGGTTAAATATAATTTTTGTTTTGTTGTTATAACAACCGAATAACATTTTCTTTAAATATTTTTATATGTGATTAACGAATGGCTATTGCTATACCGTAAAAACCACCCTCATGTTATCTTGCTTAAATTATTAATTGCATAATAAATTATTTATTCACTTTCATTATTGTTGCTATAGTTAAATGCAATACAATGTACAAATAGAATAAAAAGAAAATAGAAATTTCTAATGCTATAACAAGGATATTAAATTTTGTTTTTGATTTCTGCAATATCCTTGTAAAAAAGTTTATGCTTTTTATAGTTTTTTATACAACTTACTAAATGCAGCAATCTTAACAGAATGTTAATGTAATAATATTGATTTTACAGTGAATTGTAAAGTTATGCATTAATAATTTTTGAGGATATTAATAGTTTTGTTGTATTTTCATACAATATTCTTTATACTTGGCCTTGACTTAGAGGTTTTCTTTTTAAAAAAAACTAATGATTTTTTTTTAAATACTTTTTTAATTTTTGAAATATTAAAGTGTATAAATGTATATGTATATAAAATATATTGTTGGTGCTGCTGTAAATTTAATAGTAGGTCTTTTAGAATTTAAATAGTTATAGCGTCACAAATAGTTGTGACGTAATATTGCAATATTTGAATGTAGAACGTTTTCCATTTGAATTGCTAAAATCAAATAATGAATTTAAATCAAGTATTCGTTATTCACCACATTCACAATTGTTTTTGAATTAAAAAAAAAATTGCATAAATTTAGGCTTAAGGTGATCTTATCAAAATATAAGAAGGTATGCAAAATAACTACGACTTTGTTTTGGAATTTTCACTTTTTTGTTTAGAAGCGTTTTGTTTTAGTGGTTCTTTTTATAAGTTTTATAGCGGTGTTTATAAAACCAGTCACACTTTTGTTAGCTTGAAAGATAATTTTGTTTTAGCATTTCATAAATAAAATGAAATTAAAGTTTTTTTATAATGCTCAAGAGCTCAAAAATATTTTGTAATCAATGAAGTTTTGCGAGGTTAACTAAAAATCAAACGAAGCCTTTTTAAGTTTTTCTTTCAAATGAGCTTAATGAGCAAATGAGATTTCATAATGAACAAATTATACTGTAAATAATTAATTAAATTAGTAATAACACGTTTTTTTTGCATGTTAATATTTAATGTGCGAAATATGAGTTGTTAATTCAGCTGTATATTTTATAACAATGTTGAAGATAGTTTATTGTAGGTGGATAATATTAAAATCGAAGGGTTGTCAGTTTCGTATACAAACAGTTTTTTTTAGAAATTTTAGAAAAATTCTTTTTAAATTTTTAATTATCAGAAAAGTTTCTCCAATATATTTTAAGAATGGGATTCCAAAATATAGGCCGTACCTTATAATTTTGTATAAAAGATTATATAAGATTCGTAAATATGCTTGTATACAGTGAAAGATGTCAAATGTTGTTATGTATTATATAAAGTATATTACGCAAAGTTTATTTAATTTAAAAAAAGTAATACTGGAAAAAGTAATACTCGTAATACTGGCCCGCATAAAATAATACTAGAAAAATATAGTACAAATATGGTATCAATCACAACTCATAAGTTCATACTAAAACTAGAAATGATAACTGTAATAATGTTTCACGCGGTCGTAGAAAATTAATTCTGAGAAATTTATACTTCAAGTATTTGACGTTTATATTTCTTTATAAAAATATAAGGACATCTACCGGAAAAAATATACGTGTAATTATTCTTGAATTATTTTTTAATATAAATAAAAAAAACATAAACACAAAAGAAAATTTCAACTGTTATATAAAAGTTTTTTTTTTTATTTAATTTTTCTTTTTGAAATAATCCATATTACATTTTTATTTATAAAAATTTAATAATATTTTAATTTTGAAAATTATAAGGGAAAAAAAACTTAATTATTAATTTATATATATAAAAAAAAAAAAATTTTAAATATTTATGAAATCATTTAAAGTCTGCAAAATTAAACAAATTAAAAGAAAAAATTATTTTAAAATATTTTATAAATATTCTGTTTCAATTGTATGTGATGTTATTTAATTTGTATTTTTTCAGTTCTATTAATATTTTTTATTTTACTGAATTAGAACTTAGAATAGATAATTATTAGACAAATTACTTAATTATTTTAATTTTTTTTTGTTAATTTTCTTTTATTTTTAATATAATATTTTTTTTTTGTTTAATTATTATATAAAATCTTTAATATTATACAAACTAATTTACATATTTTAATTTTAATTGTAAGGCACAATTATTTTTTATTTTCACATAATAAGTTTGTGAATATATTATTAATTTTTTAATTCCACATTAATTATGAAATTTCTCACTTTATTAATAACATTTTAAATTTTAAAAGTAGAAAAAATGAGTTTTTCAAATGCAAGTCCAGTAAAATTAGTATGAAACAAAATTAATTCTAAATTTAGTTTTTGTTTTTAAATATAATTTTATAAAAATATATTTTATATTTTATTTCTATAAGAATTTGATTAAAAGTGTAAAATATAAAAGATTAAATTAATAATAATATAATTTAAATATTTATAACTGCAATGATATTGTCAGCATCACTAAAATAAAGGATATTGTGATATATTATTAAAATTTTAAATATTTAATTAATTGAATGTGAAAATAACATTTAAAATTAAGTGTCTTAAAATGATTTAGACATAATACAAGTTTTGAAATATTTGTTCTATAAATTTTTGTGACATTTAGTTTGATTCAAATAACATTTGAACAAAATCTGTATAACACTTATAATATATTACAATCTTATATCCTTTATTAGCAAGGTGTCAATAACTAAAAAAAAAAAATAATTTAAAAATGAAATAAAAATATTTTTATATTTTCTTTTTTTAAGATGAAAATTATAAATAAGAATACGGAATATATGAATATTATATGTGTATGAAATGAAATGTATGAAATATGAAAGATGTATGACAAAGATGTATGATTAATACAAATGTATTGTTTATTTTATTATTTTATTATTGTTTACGCTCTTGTGTACAAAATATTGAATATTTTGACGTGTTGTGTGCTTAACGTAAGATAAACTTAACAAAATTTTTATATGAAATTAATATTGTTTTTATTATTTAATAAGATAATTTTTAAACAATTTTTTATTCGTTGTTTCGAGAACATTCGGTTGAAAGAACGAAATTTTATTTGTTTTTGATAAATAAATGACAAATTAAATATTTTAATTGAATGATAATGACATAAACAAAAATTTTGATCTGGCAATATTGACTCTATTTTGAAATTTCGTTTTTAAATTTTGAAAACAAGAAATTAATATAAATTTTTTTAAATTTTCTAGATTTATTTTTTTCACTTAAATTAAATTATTTATTATTTTTTTATATATGATTTATTTCAGAGTGTTCGTTGTTCATTTTTGTGCTTTCAATCACATTTTAATTTGTTCTTAAATTTTACATATTTTTATTTTTGCTGATTATAATTTTATATATAATTTTTTAATAATTTTTTTTATATCAATAATTTTTCTTATTAAATTGACTAATAAAAAAAAATATATATTATTAAAATATTATGTAAAAATATTTTTCTTCATACACTTATATAGTAAATTTATAACAAAATTACTTAAAAATTATGACATTTAAATTAATTCTTCTGGTTCTTGTCACTTTAAATATTTTAATGATATAAGAATTTTTAGGTTATATTGTTTGTATCAAATCTAATATTAAGAGCGGTGAATGATTATTTTAAATCTTTATGAAGAACATCAAAAGTTAGTATTAAATTATAAAATTTGAGTTAAACAAAAAAAACTAACGTTTTCTATAAATTTATAATTTGAAACCTATTTTATAATTAAATTTTTCAAAATTTTACATAAAACTACATTTTATATTTTAAATTTTATTTAAAGAGATAGATTTTCTTTCCTATATTAAAAACTAATTGTTGAAAATTTAAAGACTTATGTATATAACATGATGATGGCGTTTAGATTTTTATTCAATTTATTATTCTCTTCATTTCTATGTACTTTTCAGTTTTGTTGAATAATTTGTTTTAATTCCAGAATGGCCAACCCCATAATGATGGTTGGGCTGCAGGTTGTGTTTGTGTTGGATCCATTAAAACTCTTGATGCTCCATGAACTGGTGCAGGACAGCCTGTATATTACAGAAATATTTTTTATTAAAATATGCTAAACAATGATTTTATAAAAATGTGGTACAAAATATGAAACTTCTTAGTGATAATAAAATTAACTCCAGCAATTTACTTAAAATGATTAGAGCTTATGCAATTTTAATTGAATATTCTATTGATTTTTGCAGATATTTGAAATAAGTTAAAATTTTACCACAATTGACTTGTATTTCGAACGCCGCACGGATTTAAAAGTTAGGTTATATGAGATATTGAGATATTTATACAAAAGTAAGGGTAAATGAGTTTTAAATGTCATTTTCAATATGACTTGTGACAGATGAATATGTATATATAACTATGAAAGAACTCAGATTGACATTAGAAATATTTTTCGTGTATAAGAATGTTATTCGAATCACTTTACCTAATTTACATAAAAAAGCAATTATTCAATGTCTTAATTATGTAAATCGGGTAAATAAACATTTGGAAAAGAAATATGCGGCTTTTTTGCGAAAAATAATTTTGTTTTCTTTTTCTTCATGTAAACGCTTCTTTAAAATGTTTTCAAAAGACTTTGTTGTTAATTGAATTTCAATTTTTTTCATCAAAATCATAAAACAGAAAATTAAACAAAAAAAAAATGTCGAAAACTTACGGCATACAGAACAGGTTTCTTCATCGGTACCATCACCACATCCATCACGACCTGAACATACAATAGCTGTTGATCTGCATCGTCCATTATTACATCTATGTGGACAATAATGATTCATGCGATTACCACCTAACATTCCGTTATTATAATCATTATTTAAACTATAATCATTATTATTATTATTGTTATTACTATTTATATTAGAATTACTGCTACTAAAACCATTTGTAATTGTATTACCAAGATTTGCAGTTAATAAACGTAAAAAGAAATTTGGTACTGAACGTGATCCACAAAAATGTGGTGGTTCATCACTACCATCTTTACATGTTATTATTGCATTACAATATTCATATTCTGGTAAACATTCACCACTTTTACAACGGAATGTATTCTCTGGGCAATTACCATATTCTGATTTTAATGAGTTACAATTTAATTCATCTTCACCATTTGGACATTGACGTTTACCATCACAACGTGCTGCACGACTAATACAACGACCCGATTTATAACAATTGAATGATTGTTTTGGACAATATTGATTTTTTCTTGGATTATGTATACATTCTTCATCAGATGCATCTGTACAATCTGGGCGACCATCACATACAAAGAACCATGATATACAAACACCACTTGAGCGACACTATATAAAATGAATAATAAAAAATTATATAATTAGAGTAGAAGTATTTATAATGAAAAAAAAATTTTATAATTAAAACAATAAAAAAGTGTTGGGTGTATTTTTAATTAACTTTTAATTTCTATAAGACTTGATATTGATTTATTTTAATGTTGTGCAGGAATTATGACTCATTTTTCTTCATGTATGGGAATATTGTGCAGTGATACGAATACTGGGCAAAATAATGCATGATTTTTTAACCGATAATTTGTTAAATTTAAAGGGAACGACAGATTAAGTGCTGCAATTTACTTTTTTAATAATATTCATTTCTTGTACCAAAATATTGCTCACGTGGCCTATATGTCAGAATATTATCAATCACACATTCAATATTGTTTTCAAAAGATATAAGCACTCACGTTAAATTGTCTGATTTCGGCTGAAAATTGACAGATTCAAAATAATTTGAATAATTTGGTCTTTTTCGCTATGGTAAACTGAGTTAATTTGACGTTGACAATTCGAACTAAATATACGTAAAGATCTAAAAGCTCCTATGTTTGCTTGTTAACGGGCTAGCAAAAAGAAAGGATTTCTTTTTGACAACCACCTGAATACAATTGAATGGATCGAAAATTGAATGGATGCATTCTTGAATACAACAGGTATTTCATAATTATAGGCATACATATATTTTGAAAAAAAATTATTAAAGAATATTATTAATAATTAGAAGTACGAAATTTTATTAAAAATTTTTTTCTACCTGGAATGTTCCTGGACTACATCCGGTATTATTGGAACTACAAGCATTTGAATTATGTCCACCCGTTATTAAATTCACAGCACAATCACAAACTCTTCTTTCGTTACAATAAGTATATGGATCAGCTAACACACATTGGGTATCCGAAATACATGGCAAACCTAATGATACTGGTCCATTTCCTAAGTCAACACGTTTACGAAATTCTAAAAAAAAAAATTATATAATCCAATGTCAGTTTTAATTTTGATTAATTATACATAACGTTTATATCCTATTTTAAAAACCAAAAAACAAAAATACAATACTTACCACTTGGTTTTCCTGATTTCCTGGTACTAGTTAAATCCATTAGTGAAGCTTTTAACTTACTACTATTATCATTATTATCATTGCTACTAGTATTATCATGATTAAATGGATTTTGGAGTGGGGACGAGTATTCAATTACAGTTTTATTCACATTCGATGATAATTCAACAGAATTTTTATTATCATTCGAAATGACAGAAGAAATAATTGTAGGTGAATTGATTGTTGCTTCTGTTGTTGTTATAGTTTTTGCTGTTGCCATTGTTGTTGTCATGTCATTATCATCCATCAAATTAGCTAACGTTGTTGTTATTGGAGCAAGCGGTTCCATAAGAGTTGTACGACTAGCTAAATTAATCATTGTTTGTGTTGTAATTTCAGCAACATCGGCCGCTCCTGTTGTTGTTTCATAGGTTTTTGTTTCAATTTCGTTATTTATTTCTGTTGTTGTTCTTGTTAAACTACTATCTTCTATATTATATAGATTTTGTTGTGAATCAATAATATCACTTCTATTAGAATTACTATTATTTTCTTGATCTACTAAAGAATAATGATGTTGATGATGATCAGATTTTTCTTGATGATAGTCAGAATTAGCAGCAGTAACAGAAGAAATTGATTGAATTTGTTCTTGTTGTGAATTACTATAGTTAATGTCTGAGCTGTCTTTTATATTATTTTTTTCCATATTATTGTTATTTTTGTTGTTTTTTATTGTAAGATTATCTGAAATTGTTTCATCAATTTTATTGGCACTTAGTGGCGGTATAGCCATTGGCATTTTATTGGTTTTTATTATTTCAATGTCGGCATTAAATTTATTGATTTCATTCGTTGTTGACGTCGTCGTGGTCAGTTGAAGATCTTCAGGTAATAATTTTTCAGTTGTTATTTCACTATTATCCTGTTTTTCATTATTCTCCATGTTATTGATATTGATTGTTTTGTTGATTAAAGTATCGTCATTATTTTTATTATCAACATCATTATTATCATCACCATTTGAATCACTGTTATCACTGTTGTTGTTGTTGATGTTTTCATTATTGTTTTTATTTTCAACATTTTCATTTTTGATACTATTATTGTTTTCAATATTGTATTGGTTCCATAACAAATTGGGATCGTTTGTTGTTATTTGAACTGAATAAATATTCGATTCTGCTTCCGTTGAATCGTGAGAGAGATTATTTGATTGGAATTTTATATTAGTTAATTGATCTGGAATAGTATCGACAGCAGTGGTAACTTCAACATCACTATCATTTATTTGTTGATAAATTGGGAATAGAGTCGTAATAAATTTATTTGCAAGGTTTAATGTTTCTGGTCTTGTTGTGTATGATTCTGGTAATTCTTGTGCAATTTCACGTGATATATCTGTTATAAAGTGATCCTGTTCGGTATTTGAAATTTGTTCAGGAATATCTTTATTAACATCATCGAGTGGTTTAACAATTTCAGAATCAAATTCTTTCTCACTCATTTTCTCGGTTTCTTTTTCTACCTCAGTATTGAGATTATCTTTCATTGGTATAAAATTTGCTTCATTTTCTAAATCATTGTTTACCATTGAGTTTATGTCATTGATTCCATCAGGCTTTGCAGTTACGCTTTCGTTTTCAATAGTTTGTTTTTGTGAAATATCCTCGTTATTTGATGGCTTTTGTTGATTAAAATTATTATTTAAGGATAATATTTGACTTGGACTAAATAATTGTTCATCTTCGCCCCTTGGTAAAATTATGTTTGGAGCAATGGTTGTAGCATGAGTTTCATCTAACGATTGCATAGCTTCTTGAATCATTTGATCAATAAATAATGAGCCAATAGGAATTTCTTCACGCTCAATGTCTATGTCTGGTGGATTTTGTGCCGCTAATTCTGGGGCAACCGTTGTATCAACACTTTCATCAATTCCTGGAAGTTCTTCAGTATTTTTGAAAGTTTCTTCCGTTCCTTTACTACTATCTAATTGAGGTTTCAATGTTGTTTGTTCTAAAATATTTTCTATTTCTTCCTCTATTTGTTCGAAAATATTTTTCTCTGTACCTGAGGATTCGTCTAAAGGTTCAGACTTTACAACTTCTTCTTTAATTAAGTTAGGGTTAATTGTTGTTATTGTCATTATCTCCAACTGTATTGGATCAGTTTCCAAAAGAGAAGGTTTATCCTTGCCTAAAATGTCATCGGCTTCATTTTTACTCGATAATTCGTCAGCCTTTTCTTGTGATAATTCTTGGGGTATTTTTTGAGTTACAGATTGAACTGCTGATTCATTAGATATGCTATCATCTATTTCTGATTCCTTAAGTGTCTTCATAGTTGTCAAATCTTTTTTATCATCTAGTTTATTTTCCTCAGATTCCATAGCAGCTTGAAGAGCATGTTCCTCTGGAAGCTGGTTGGTATTACTAATCATAGGAGGAGATATTGTTGTAAGAGAATCGATATCACGATTAAGATCGTCTACCATTGAAACTATGGATTCTAAATTTTCGTTAAAATTCATGTTTTCTAATGGTTGTGATTCGAATGAGATGTTTTCATTTTTTTGAATTGATTCTACAGAAGGTTTCAATGTTATTATTTTTTCGTCAATTTGGTTAACAGAAGGTTCTATTGTTACTAAATCAATAATCGGAGCTTCTGTCGTAAATTTGTTTTCAATTTTTTCTTCTAGATCGCCTGCCAATAAATTTTTCTCTGGTTCAAGTGCATGAGAAATTTCCTCACTTTCAGAAACTTGTGACAAATTGTCTGACTGTAGTACTTGCACATTTTCTACAATCTTTTCTTCAGTCAAATTTAGAATTGTGGTTTGTTCTTCTGCTGTATCAACTGGTTTTAAAGTTGTAACTTCTTTCATAAGACCATATTGGTCCGTTAATTTTTCAGTATCGCCTGCATTTTTAATTAAAAATTCGTTGGGTTCATTGTTCTGACTATTATCACTGGGAAGAATAGCGGAATCACTTAATGTTGTACTTTCTGCGATATCCTCTTGCTGAACAAATTCATGCCAAATTGGTGATTCTGTTGGATTATTAATTTGTATTTTATATTGATCAGAAATATCTTCTTTAGTTGGAGCATCAGTTTTCCTTTCTATTTCTTCTTCCAAAATTCCATCTCTGATATGTTCTCCTGAGTTCACATTTTCACTTTTAGTTGTATCTCCTTCTACAGGGTGCTGAGTGACAGATGGCAACAATAAATCGTCTTTATTAACATCATCTTCAGATTGAATTTCTTCTCCAAAAGTTTCTTCTGAATGTTCACTAGAAACTTTGATTGGTTGCTCTTTTGAAACTTCTTCGCTTAACCTCTCGGCACTATTATTTTCCTCACTTAAAATATGTTCAATTTCTTCATTAAAAGCGTTATTGTTTTCTTCTTTAGAAACTTCTTTGTCATCATTTTGTTGCATCATAACATCTTGATGAACTGGCTGTTCTGTTTTAAGGTTAATGCTTTCCTTTGGTAGTTCAGTTTTATTTTCTTCGGCAGCTAAAGTTTCTTGAGACTTTTCCGTTGTACTTTCATTAGTGGTATCTACATCCAATTTTGATAATGAACTATCATTTTCTTCGATTGGTGAACTAAATAATGGGGTTTGTTCAGTATTTTCACTTTCTGGTGATGTTTCCTTTTCAGTTGAAATTTGTTCTTGTGGTTTAAGCAGTTCTGTGGTTCCGTCATCTATACTTTTATCTTCCTCGCTTTTTATTTGATCTGCAGCCGTAACAATATCCCCATTTTCGAACGTTTCTTCACTATTTTTCGTTATTAAGCTATTAATTGGACTAATAGTTGTATGTTCAACACTTTCTTTGTCTAAGTTATTTAAGTTCACATTGGAATTTGAGAAAATATCTTGATTATTTTCGAAGCTTTCATTAACAGAGTGTGAAGCGTCCTCCTTTTCACCTGAGTGGCTGTCGGTTGATGCGGAATCGATTGTTTCTAAATTTTGTGATTCATTTATTTCTACTGATTTTTCTGTATTACTATCTTGGGGTGCTTTAAACACTTGTGTAGTTTGTTCAAGGTGAAATTCTTCTTCTTTTTCAGTTTGTTCGGAATGTTCACTTTCGTGGTGTGCATATTCATCTTCTTCTTCTATTTTAAAAGGATAATCGTAACTTTCATCATTTCCAGAGTCATTCTCTTCATCCTCAAAATTTTCTTCTGGATATCTTATGGTTGTAGCTTCATTATCACCTTTTTTTTCCGTAGTAGCTTTAATTTCGTCTTCATCCATGCTTTCATCATTTTCATGCGAAATTGCGTTTTCTGTTGACCCTTCAATATCAGACTCGTTTTCACCTTCCTTGTTTTCGTTTTTCTCTGGTTCCTCTGATTTAGTTGCATCTTCTGAGGACAGTAGTGGTTGCAGAGTTTCTTCATGCATAACATTCTGATTTTCTGAATTTGACACTTTTGTGGGGTGATTTTCAGTTGATTGATTGTCATCAATGTTCAATGAAAAACTTCCACTTTGTAATTCATCTGCAGATTCATTGCTTATGCTTTCTGGTACATGATGTTCCAAAATGTCTTGACCAACTTGTTCTGAATTTGAGAAGCTTTCTGAATTATCTTGCGCACTTATATATTCCTCTGACTTATCCGGTAACATTTCGGTACTATTTTCCAAACTTGATTGGTTTTCTGTATATTGGCTTTCTTCTGTTTTTGAAGTATCATCAAGTATAGCAATGTCACTTTGATTTGTTATTTCATGGTTTTCTAATGATTGATCCGCTGAAATGTTTTCTTGCTCGGAAGAATCACTTTGCTGTCCTACCACATTTGAAGGAATATCATCTTGTTCTGCTATTTGATTTTCTGCAATTTTATTTAAAGGTAAATTAATACTTTCTGAAGTTTTAGTATCATCATGTTCTGACGAAGTTTCTGTTGATTCTAATTTTAGATCTAGCTGATTTTCAGTGAATGGAACCACTACAGGACCTAAAGTAGTTTCGCTTTGTTTTGTTGTTATTATTTCTTGTGGTGTCACAGATGACATTTCATAAAACTCTTCAAATGTTGACGTTTCGTTTTCATATAAACAATCTCCACCAACTTGACGTGCTGGTGCACTACATTGGCATCGGCCGAAAAGATTTGGTATTAAAAAATCACAGTGGCTTTTGACTGAAAACATTCGACAATGCGCATCGCTGTAACAGACGGCACCTGGATGTGCAGCTGTAATTAAAAAGAAAAAAAAAACCAAGTTTTTTAAAGTAAACTTTTAAAATAGCTTTATGTCTGTTTTTATGGACGTGGGAAATTTTCGATTTTAAAGTTCTTGCACTCTGCATGAAAAGTTCTCGAAATGATTAATTGCAGTTGAAATAATGCCGCAAACCAAACAAAATATTAACAATGACATCTTATCATTATGTCCTTAAAAGAATTTCATATAAATGTTAAAAATGGTTGACATACTACGCCACCACGGTGAAATATTAAAGGAGATTAGCGTAATATGGCAAAAGAAATTTTTCTTTTACAAAATAGAGAGCAAAAACGGCAAGAAAAAAAATTCTTGAAATATTACTAAATGCAATTTCAAGCTAAAATATTTAGGTCATAAGGAAATCTTTCGGCCTTCAATTATTTTTTATATAAACACATACATACGTACGTCAAAACATACGAGATATACACGGACGAGTATAATTATATTTTTGGGTCTGTATATCTATTTAAGTATGTAGAAAAAAATACATAATAAATATACCCATTCAAGTTTGTATACACTTGTAATTCTATACAGTGAAGCCTTAATTGTTTGTTATTCCAAATTAATTCCAGTTCAAAGAGTTGAACAATAAAAATTTCTTTGTTTTTAGGATATCGTTAAGTGCCATACCGCCCGTAAAGTGGATTCCTGGAATTGACCTGTATTTAGTTTATGCTTATAAATCAGGAAAACTCCACATTTTGAAGGGCAGTATTGCTCTGGTAATTCGTGGCAGAAATAGAAAGGAATTTAAAGAAATAGAAAGGAACCTATTACATAATACAAAAAAAATTGAATGTCAACATAATTCCATAATCCTAATAATAAAATCCATTTTATTCGGACTCTACTATAGAAATTCTACATGTACATATGTACGTGTTATTATTTATATTTGTACATAATTCCTAGTTCTCTTTCTTGCAAGTTTTTCTTTTCTCTTAACCCCTCTGCGTTTGTGTGTGTTTGTTTTAATTTCATCTTATATAATATATATCTATCCTTAAAGAAGCGAAATATACGACGGTCTTCACAACAAACTGCCGATAGCCAGACTTATGTGTATATAATATTTTATATGTGTATATAATTGTAAATTTTAATGAACAGAACAAGTTTTCTAAAGTTTCAACTTAGGAAAAAAAATATGAAAAGAGACAAAACTAGAAAAATAAAATGCATTTTTTTTTCATCTATGGAATTGACAATGAGAATTATACTTTTCGCGATTTCTCCTTTTTGGAAAAATGTGCAATTCCATTTATGTATGTGCAAAAACGGAAATTATATGAAAAAAAAATTAAGAAGAAATTTTAATCCCTCTTATATTTAATAACAAATTATATGAAGAATTTTATAGAACATTGGGTTTGTAATTTAATGATGACCAAATTATATTTTTAAAAGATTTTCGTCAAATTTAACTGACTTGAGCAATTTGCGTTCAGAATAAGTTTATATTAATATTTAAAAGTTTTAATCAATAATTTTACAATTCGTGATGAAGCTACCTATTGTAGTTAAAATTCTTGAATTATATTTTTCTAGTTTGTAGAGCAAATATAATTTGTTTTAAAGCGTTCACCATTCAAAAAATGGAGGCGACGTCCGGTATGTTGTTGTCCAAAAAAGGGTTCTGTGTATTTAATTGTCCATTATGGAAATTGCTGTACAAGATTTAAATTTTTAATTCCAAGGGTCCGTTGTTAGAAGCAAAAGATTATTTTAATTCTAACAAACATCAACCATAACTTTATGACAACAAAATTTGTAATAAAGTAGTAATAAAGCTCTTTAAAGTGCATGAAGGGTTGCACTTTAGCAAATATTTTAGAAGTTTTAGTGATTTGTCTTCTGAGTAGCTGGGTAGCACCAGAAAATTCGGCATCAATTGGAGTGACACCAGGAAATTCGGTAACAAAGTGCCAAATTATAGTTTACATGTTTCAAAAATTTTCTTCAGCTAGTTCGCTAGGATTTGATTCTATAAACAGATTGTCAAGACATATTTACAATTTATATCTATAAGGGTTGACTGAAATATTTTCATTTGTTTTTAAAAGATTCGGAAACTAAAATACGGCAATGCTTAGGCGTTTTGAAAAGTATATTTTAACGAAGGCTATGTATGTTTTGAATTTGCCAGAGAAAGGCTTACACTGACGTATAATACTCAATTATATCTGTTCAAAAAATATTTAAAACAGTGTTAAACGACTTTTTAAAAACTTTTAAAATGTAATAAAAAAATACTTCAATCATATTTTAAGTGTGGTCCATAAACTCAAGTAGTTGATGGCGAATCGTAAACGAAACTGATGTTTTTAAAATTATTTCAAAGAGTCCTCAATTTTTGCATTACGAAGCACAATATTTAATTAATAGATGAATTTAGAGCGGACATTCTCATTATTATTCCATTTTGTAAGAAGAGACTTTCAAATACTTGAAATAACTGGTATTTTATAAAGAGAATAATAAAAATTTGTTTCAAATGGATCAAAATGCATCCCAAATTAAATTTTAAGTGGAGGTGGATCCAATTGACATCGGCGTATCTCCGAAACTAAATGAGATAGCGAAAATCTGATTACTTAAACTGAAAGATCATCATCGAAAACCTATGAAAGTGGTCTTAAGTCAGAAATTTCGAAAGTGTCTTATGGATCAAAATAGCACTCAGCCGACGAAATGTATTACGCCTCGCTTTGATAATTTTGTTTGAATCATTTTAAAACAGCATTCGAAAATGTTACTAAGTTTAAAAATATAATTGTTAGAAAAGAGTAGGAATGAGTAGGAAATCGGGGAATGATTGGACGTCCCGTACCGATTATTAAACTATTCTGAGCTATAATTAATTAAACAGTCAACAACACATATTTCATTCAACACACGCATACTGATTTCCTGATCGATTATATTATTGAAAAAAGTAAGCAAAATAGTAATTACGTATTTGAAACGGGAATATAGGTAAAATTAACTACGCTAATTCTGTTATACCTTATAATTATGCCTTATAAAATTAAGTTTCAAGAAGTATTCGGAAAAATGACAGACAGATTTAGCGAAATCGCGGAAAAATGGCCGAATGAATATATAATCTTAAATAAAAACGCGTTCAATTTGAAATCTCCTTGAAATCGTTTTAAAATTACTGATCAATTAAATGTTTAATAATTTACAAGTTTATCAACAGAAAGTATTATATAAGAACACTGATTCCAACTTGTCTCCTGTTGTTTATATTACATAATTAATTTATATCTACTTTGTTAAATTAAAAGCATTATCCTATATTTGAAATTATCGATAATATAATAACAAATATCAATGCGTAGAAGTAAGAACTTGAAGTAATACACTAAAATCATAATTTTCTTGTATACTTTTCTTTAAATATTAAGTCAGAAAATAATTTCATATTTATAGTCTCTGTCTACACTGAATAATTTCGCATTAACAAGAGCTACTTGGTATAATATTCAGATACACGAACAATGTTAAGAGTTTTCTTTGAAGAAAATTGTTACTAAGGCTTGTTTCAAAATTATTATATAACAAATAATATTTCTTCAATATGCGCCATATAATTTTAAATCCGGCATTTCAACTATTATACATTATTGTTATTATATTTTTGTATGTGTAATCAAATTGCTATTACTAATACATAACAAAAAAAAAACAGAGTTGTATCCCGGGAATTTCTATATTCATGGGATCAATTAATAAACTAGAATTGAAAAAAGTTTTTTTTATACAAGTTCTAATATAGTGCCTTCTTGTATTTAAAAAAAATAGTGTTACAAATTCAATGATGCGTTTATGATATTGTAAATATCAAATTCACATAAGTTTATTGAAGTATTGTCCCAAATTTAAGTGTCAATCAAAATTATACTAGATTTATTAAATAATCTTGAATACTACAATTATCATACACTTTAAAAGCAGTCTTACTAATACTAGTATTAAAATACTGAGAATCAGAATTCACTTTACGCCACATTTTTTTCATCGACTCATTCCCACCATAACCATTCTCGGATCTATTTTTCTTAAACGAAATTTGTTGAAACAACGCGGGAGAAATTACGATTACACTCACAAGTTGATGAGTAAATGCTACCTCAGTAACCACCTTGCGTGATACCAGCGCGAGAAATATTCAGAACGATATTGTTTCTAACAGTATTCCTAACCTATCGCATATAAATTTTTTGTAATATATAAATCAAGAAATTCCTTTACCCATTTCATGACAAAACCACTCCGATTGTACTGAGAGCTCCATTATAATTTCATTTTAAAAAATTAATACTTTGATAATATCTTATGGTTGGTCAGAATAATTGTCTATACTTTAATACTATTGAAATTAAATCTATACATGTTTATTTGTTATAATTTTATTTGTACATTTTTAATTGATCACAAGATGAATGGATGGTATCATATGCGTATTTAGTAAAAAGAAAAAGCAGAAACAAACAAAAACTGGATTAAAGAACCGTCCATATTATATAAAATGATTTTTTTTTTAATATTTTATGACTAACTAGTTAGCTTGGTTAGATTCTAAAGTAGATCAAATTTTCAGGTAATCAATAATCACATATGTGTGTACAATATGCATATAAACATATTTTTCTTAACATTTTCTATATATTTATAAGAGTATGTGCAGTCCAATAATACTTTGTACTTTTTAGTTGCAATATGAAATATAAGAAAAAAAACCATCTGAAATTGAAGATAAATGAATATTGGCAATTCAAGTATATTTTTTTGTAATAATAGGAGTAGAGTTTCCTAATTTAGAAAAACGATGTCAATTCAATTCAATTCGACATAAAATAAGGAATTAGAAAATTTATTGACTTTTTTTTTGTTTTTGTTTTGTAGGATCATTGAGAAATGAAACCTTCTCTATAGATTTTTAAGTAATTTGCGGAATTTTTATTAATGAGAAATGATGGTATTTTATTTCCTTTAAATATTTAATTCATAGAGTGATATACAAAGCATAATTCTGTATATATATATACATACATACATACATGGTATTTTAGTATATAAGAAAAATTGTTGTAATATTGAATGAAAAGTGTTAATTATTACAGTTAAAAGGTGATAATTACTTGATATTTTTTTACTTTTATCTTTTGTTTTTTTATTTTATTGAAAAAATTAAAAGAAACTGGGAGAAGTTTATTATAAAGTAAGAATTATGCATAAAATTTTGAAAAATTATTTGGGAACATTTCAATTTATTTAATTTATAATTGTACTATAATTGTAGTATTATTACAATACTAATAGTATAACACTTTGGATGCATTCTAAGCTTCACCAGATTTTGTATAAGAAGGAGTTCAAATTTATCCAAATAGGCTACTTCCGCAAATTTAATTGAAATTGAAAAGAATTACCACACATACAGTACAGTATCCTACTCCTATTTTCAAACTACTTCCGACCCAACTACCTCGGATTGGTTTTAAGTGTTATCATATTCTCTGCAGGTTTCTTTTTTCTATAATTTTGAATTTTTCCAATAATTAATTTCACGCCATCCAAAGGTAATTTGATTTTACTTTTTTAAACTTTATTTATAAATGTTGCCGTGTTTGTATACGTATTCAATACACGATAACACTTTGCAAATAAAATTAAAAAAAAAAATTTACAATTTATTTTCATTTCTATAACTTTATTAGTTCCCATTTACAAAATAAACTCATAATTTTCTTAAAGAAAAAAAAATTGTGATTATAAACTTTTTAGAAATTTTGAAAAATAATTAAAAAAAAATATTTTTAAATTAACTAATAGATACGTTGCAATTAAAAGCAAACAAAGTTATCAAAATATCTGGGAACAAAACACCCAAAGTTTAAATTTTTTAACCCTTTATAGTTTTGTGTTTTTTTTTGCTGTTTTTGCTTTTAATATTGTACTGCATTTTTTTACCTTCTCAAATAACCAATGATCACACAATAACTATACTATTCACATATATATGCCTAATTACATACATATATACATATATTTATATATACAAACATATTTCTTCTTGGTATTTTTAAATTTCCTTTTTCACTACTAACCTGCTTTAAATTTTTTTTTTATCTTTTATTTTTTTCCCTCCAAATACTTTACGTTGCAATTGAAAATTCAAAAAAAAAAAAGAAAAAATAGGAAAAAATATAATAGAAAAAAAAAGAGAAAAAAACAAAACTAAAAATTATTTCCAAGTTTTCCCACTGAAGCGGCGAACATTTTCCGTGTTTATTTGCAGTTTAAATTGAGAATGAAAATAAGAAAAAATAGATAAAAAGAGAAAGAGAAAAAAAATAAATAATATTTTTTTTCTTATTTTGTTTTTGTTATTATAAATTGATAACCAACTTTGATAGTAAAGTGCAACACTGACTGACTTCTCTCTTTTAAAATACAGCGACGAACGAAGAGGACACGACCATTTCTTTTTTTTTATTCCAATTCAAAAGAATGGTTGATTTCGCTTCCGTTAGGTTTACAATGCGCTTTTTGATTACGGGGAAATCAGAACTATTTTACAAAAGTTTTACTAATTTAAATGAAAAGGGAAAAGAATTAATTGGTTTTTTTTTGGAGGTGAAAAAAAATTTTCAATATGAAAATTCAAATTTTCAAATTTCGAATTGCAAACTTTTAAATGAAGACATTTAACATCAATTTGATTTGTTCATTAATTTAAATAGTTTTTCCGAATTAATCAATTTGACATTAGTTTGCCATTTAGAGCTATGTCAGAATTTTCAAATAAATTTAAAATAAGTGATTTTAGTAAAAAAAAGTCTGATTAAATCATAAAAATCAGACATACTGCGTTATTCCGCTGATATTAGATGATAGATTGCAGATTTTTTAGCTGATTGCAGCTTTTCATATATTTAAGTTTCAATTAACAGCATTTAGTCGAAACCTAAATTAAAAATTTGGTTAAATTGGAAGGATACCGTTGCATTTAACTTTAAAGTACCCCATAACAAGGATGTTCAAAGACATTGTACATTTTCAATTCTATATTTTAGTTTGTGTGAATATTTTTGTTATTGTAGCTAACAATTTTTATAACTTAAAAAAGTTTTAACTATAAAGTTTGCAGCTGATTCTTTTTTTTTCTTTTCTTCTTTTCGTTGTTCAAAGTAAATGAAGAAAATTTAGTGGAAAAAAAATGAATCAGACATGCTTCCACATTCTATACACAGCACATCAAAGTTCAATTTAGTGCACTTGGCATTTAAAATGAAACGAAACTAACGATTGAGTCAAAAAAAATTAAAAGAGAAAAAAGGGGGAAAAATAAAGGTAAAATTGCATTGAAGGCACAAGGAGTCTTAATTCATTTAATTGGTGAATTTAAGAACTCGATTGGAATAGTTTAGTCAAGTAGTTTATAAGTTTCACGGATAAAATAAAACTAAAACCAAAAGCAAAAAAAAAAAAGATTTATAGGTAAAAATAATTTTTTTTTCCATTTCATAGAAGAATTGAAATTTTTTTTTTTCGTTTTAGAGAATGGCAAATAACATTGTGATTAAAAAGTAAATTTGTATTAAAAATTATAATGGATTAAATTCGATGAAATAATTGGAATACCTTATGGAATGTGAATTTGAAAAACCTATTTTTTTTTAATTCTAACAATTACTTGCAGTATAAAAAAAAGTTAAGAATTTTCATATTTTTACTAGGTTAAACAGACACTATTAATAATTTAATATCTTGTGCATTGTCCTCTCTCCCAAAGAAATTTTATAATCTCGATGTCTGTAAATCGCTGCGAAAATTTTAACGAGTAAATAATGCAAAATTCAGACTTAAACAAAATCTTCTGAACAAAATTGCTGTGTTTCTCTGTTCTTTTGACGCTCTAAAAGAGAGGATATACAATTTAAAAATATTAGTATGGACCCAAACCACATTAACTAGTTCAATTCGGTTGGCAGTTTTTTGTAAAAATACACAATACTCAATCACTTTCTTATTATCCGGCTGACGGCGTGGTAAAGCGGGGTACAGAATGCACTTTTAGGAAAAACAACATGAACGATAATATTTGTGTCAATATTCAGCATTAAAAAATTTTTTTTTTTCCTTTATGTATTTTGGTTAAATTTTGCTATTTTAGTAGTTTTATTTTGTACATTAAAAGTACATTAGTTTTATTGTATTTCATTAAATTTTTTTAACACCTTTAAGAGAAAAGTTTTTTCCTATTTCCTATACTTCTATTTTTTGGTGTTTTAAAATAAATATAAAAAAAGCGTGTGAGAATTTTTTTTTTCTAGAATCGAGATACAAAGTAATGAAAATGCAATTTTTTAATAATTTTCAAACTAAATAAAATTGAATTTTAAATTTACATTAATTTTTTACTATTTTAAATTTAATTACAGGCTTTATGAATGAAAGATTAATGGGACAATGACATCCAACAACATATGACTAAATAAACGTAGTAAACATTCTGCAGTTATGCTATCTCAATACGGCATCGATTAATTGTATTTGTCGTCTCTATGATGGCAAACTCACGAATCTGAAAAATTATAAATTTGTGATATCGCAAAGTAAAAATATTGATATACTATCAATGATTAAGAAGACTTACACTTGCTTATGGCACACCAATATTGCACCACATCAATGCACATTTAAAGGAAAAACTACGAAAGTTTGAAAAAAAAAATACATATGGATCTGCAACGGAATATACAGAAAACCCGAAACCAATTAAAAGCACTATTATTCCAACAAACTCTTGTACAAGGAAGCAAACATAACTAGAATTCATAATTTTCTTATAAAATTGATTCGAAATCATTATGATAAAGCACAAAACATTCTTGAAAATGGTTTAATATCACATATATTCTATTAAATAAAGAATATGGATGGTTGCACAATCGCCTTAGTAACATGTAAGTACAATATGAATATACAAGTAGTTTTAATTAGGGTATAAGTATTAGGATAGGATAGGTTAGGCTTTATTTTTTTCATTAAATAATATTGTTGGTTTTCATATCCCAATTTTTCCAATACATACACATATTGTCATTATTGTCTATGAATTTATCAAGATAAAAATTTATTTCTTAGTATAAATTTTAGATAGAACTTTACAAAGGTAAAGCTTTTTGTAAAGTGTTCTAGGCTCTTCTAGGCTTCTATGATAACCTTAAATATGATTGTTTAAAAGATTAGATAAAGTTTTAATGAAAAGAAAAGTGATATTGCAAAAACAGACTTTGACCTACCATATAAAGGTATTTAATTTCTTGCGATCTGGAAAGATGAAATACTTTTGGGTTGATGTTGGATTTGTTTTTAAATGTTTTAATCCTTTCTATTTTTGCTAAATTGCTGTCTTTTTCTCTACCTAATAAATGTCATTTAAATATTTGTATTTGACTCAATTCATGACTCATTCAATAAAATCAAAAATCAGTTAATCACCTACTGATGTTAAAGCGTGAATTCATTGAACCTACTCCTATACTCAAACTTCAATAAATTCATTTCAAATTCTATCGGCCACTCTGCCTCCCGTTTTTCTTTGAATTCAAACAATTAAATTTTCTTATTAGAAATTTTATCTCACGGTTTCAAAACAGTTCTTTATTAACAAAATTAAAAATATGTTCATCAAAATGTCATATAAATTGTAGTTAAAATGTTTTAAAATATTGTTAAAAGTTTATTAAAACGCCATGTTATTTCTTTTTACAACTATAAGTTTTAATAATAGGGTATGCTCTTAATATTGTAAAAAAATTTCTGACATAATCGTATTTTTCTTAACATTTCATAATTTTTTATGAGCTTCAGCCTTTGTTTTTTTAATTTAAAAGTTTTTTTTAGAATTCCCCCGTTTTTTTATTATTATTATTACTGCTGCACTTTCACAAAAAAAAAAACTAGTTGCTGTTTGATGAGAATCAGATCCTCATCAATTAAAGTACATACAAACATACATACGTGTATAGTTTCGAATACACAATAATTATGTAAAATGCAAAAAAGAAGAGGGAGGAGGAAATTTTTCACAATTTAAGAAAGAAGCTTCGCAATGGTATAAGAGTTGTTTGCATAAAAAACAACACCGTTTAAATGTTTTAAGAAAATTTTTTTTAATATTATTTTTTTTTGTTCTTGTTCTTTGTTTTGAAATTATTTTTATAAAATTTAAAAAATTCTAGTAAGTTTTTATTTAACAAAAAGGTGTAACATTGTTTTAATTCTTGTAATTCTTGACTTCAGAAGTGCATACGAATGAATTTAAATCAAATCATTTTTAAAATATAATTAGAAACGTGTTCTTTGAATAGCTAAAGGGTGTATTATGAAGCAATTATGGCAATAAAATTAAGAATATTATAAAATATTACAAACAAATGTAAAAAAGTTTATGGTTTGCTTAATGTAGTAACTACTCCGTATATCCGTGCTACCAGCGGTTGATTTGCACGTATACGTTCCAAAATATGTTTAAAATAAAATATAAAAAAGAAGCATTTGCATATACATATATAATGTCAGGAAACTTACGCGGTATGACAGTTCATATGACAAATTAATTCATTCGGAATCTCCTCCTAAACAACCGATTTTTTCTATTTCGGAAGAATAAAACAGCTATAGTATAAAGAGCAGACCTTAGTCATATTAGCTAGTGTCATCACTGAATTTGTATAAAAGTATATAACATAGTAAATTCTTTCCTTATTTCTTACTATACTAAGAATTCCTTTTGTTTATTCTGTTTTTGTTTCTTTTCTTTTACAAAATCTTAAATATTTCCCTTAAAAAATAATAAAACTTATAAAAAACAAAAAAAACGGCATAAGTATACCATTCAAAAACTTAACAGCTATAATCATCCGCATGTATCAACTGATTTGTATGAAATTTGTTTGTATGATTGTATATTTATAATGTATAAAAGGGCCATTCACCTGTCAGTATATACGTAGGTACTGTTTCACGCCACATAATAACAGTATGCATTTAAATTTTTTATATTCACATGCATAAATATAAATGTAAGAGTATAATGATATGTAGGGTACATATATGAAAAAAAAGACATACATATGTATATACATACACGTGTATAACATGCACATGGGTAAATAATATGGAATTGCATTTGTACATAAGTGTAATACATTAATTTATGACAGTAGAATCATGCAATATTTTTTGTTTCATATTAATGTTAATGTTATTCACTTTTTAAAACTTTGTTTTGATTTTTTTTAATACCTTTATAGTTTTATTCCAGCATGTTGGATGTGGATTGTTATATTTACAAATTCATTCACTTTTTATCAGTCTTTCAGTTGTCCTAATTATCTATATCAATTTCAAAATTGGTCTGCCTCCCTCCATTTATCACTTACTGATACAAAATTATTTGAACCTGAAGGGGTTATGGCTTTGTTTTTTGTTTCAATTTTTGTTTTTGTAAATGTGTTATAGAATATTGAAATTTTTATCATTAAATTATAATTGGATATTATTTTTATGACTTTCGTCTAAAATAATCGGTATCACATATCATAGATGACATCATATACATAAGTTGATCTTTACAAAATCTTTAAATGATAAATCGCATTAAGATTACATGTTTGTCGGGAATGCATTAGGAAAAAGTGAATTGTATTTCATGTTTTTTATAACACACCTGTTCTGAAACAACAGGATAGAACACCAATAGAAATACGAAATGTTATAGTAAAAATAAAATATAACCCTTTATCATAATTGTTTTGCTATAAAAGAGTTTATAAAAAGTGAACTGTCAAATTAGCTGTCATACCGCACTCTTCCTTTGGGATTTATAATAAGTATGTATAATGTGGAAGTTAACTCGTCATTAACAGGCTTATACTATTTGGCTATAGTAACAAACAGATAGAATAGGAAAGTGCAGCTGGAGAATTCGCAGAAAGTACTTTTATAATAACAAAAAAGAGAATGAAATTTGACAAGTTGTAAAAATTTATTGTAAATAGTGGTGTTTCGTCACGTTATACTCGTATTTTGTTTACTTTGAGAATAGACACAAATTTATATTTTTGGTACAATGTAGAATTTTCTTTCATCGGAACTTCAGGAGTAGGTTAAGTTCATTTCAAATGTTGCGATAAACATATAAAACTTTGAAATATAATCGATATAACTTTTATAACACATTATTTACCTTTATATAATTTAACCTTGAATTATGACTTAGAACTCATTCTGAATTTACCGCAATTTAATTAATTATTATAAAATCTTCAACATATTACACAATGTACATAGAGGCATTCATACAGATATGAATATTTATAAACTTACACTATACGTGAAGAAAAAAGAGATGAAAATTTATGTAGTGTTATAGCACCACAGCATAGCATCATTAATTAATTTCATAAAAATTTAATTAGCTCTTAAGTGGTTAGATATGCTCACTGAAACATTCACACATATATGCTCACTTATATCTGTAATGTATACGTATAATGTATATAATATTAAAAATTTTTATAATCTGCTTTTAACATGAATGAATTTTGTTTTGCTCTTCTAAGTTTTGAGACAATTTCTTTGATATTAAAATGAAAAAAGAAACTTGGAAAAGAAAAAAATTTAATTATATCTTGACATTTATGATTTAAGCATATGTTCACACGTTCTTTCATTTATACACAATATATATGTACATATACATATGGAAAGATCTCATACACAAATCAGAATTATTTAAACATTTCCCTATAATTAATGCAATGAATTAATTTTGTAATAAAAATAATTAAAAATAAAGAAAAGAAATCGAGATTCATAAAAATCTTTACCCTTAAGTTTAAAATACTTTAATTAAAATGTATATTTTGTGTAGTGAGAATTTAGAATTCTAATATTTATTATTGAGGAAATGATTTTTTAAAATTTTAATTCATGCTTTTGCATTTACAGTATATAAGTGAATGGTGAGATTGATAAGTTAGTGAGAACACAAGGAAGTAATTATAAGTACACGTCCTTTATGATTTCACATCACTTCCTTAAACTGAGATTTTAATTTTTGATTTCAAATAGTTGTTTACTCAAATATTTTTTAATAACTATGTAGAAGATGATCCGATAATATTTAATTATTCTTTTGTGTTATCATAATATTCCGATATAACGGGTAATTTGTTTTAGTTAAAAAAACAAGCGATTGGCCCTTATATATAAGTAAGAAATTTAGAAATGAGAAAACACTTACAATGAGAATGAAACTAGAATATATAATATTAATAGAAGACTATGCGAGTCAGTCAACATAAGTATACTAGTCGAAGCTGCCGCATTCTACCGAATGTAATACAATTTCTAGACGAAATAATGAAAGAAACCAGGTGATTAAGATGGGCAGTCACTTCCAGACTTCAAGTCGTTTGGAATATCTGAGTTATGCCGATGGCATTTCTTGTTTTCACATTATAACGTATATAATAAGATGCCAGGAAAACTCCATCTAGTATTTTATAGCAAAATTAAATAACATTAAAATTAATAACTACTGCCATTATTTTATATTGAAAGATTTCAAAAATGTCTTGTCAATTTAAACTAATCAAACGTCAACAATTTATCACAAGTTCTGGTTTTTTTCAAAAGTTCAAGAATTAAAAAACGACAATAACATTTTTATTTAACAAAATTTTCCATTATTTGACAAATAAAAATTTTTATTTGCCATTGCAATTTAAAATAAGTAATTCAGAAACTAGGGCAAATAAGGTAATGATTATCAATTAAGGTGCTGTTTTTTACATTAATATCTGTTTTTTTAGCGGCTCATCTTTAACTAGAATTAAGGTTTTAGGTACAACTAATGAATTTTCAAGTATAAACTAATTTTTTTTCTTTTTTC